GACCTGTAATCCAAGTGCTCTGGAAGCTGAGGCAGAAGGGTCACACATTTGAGGAAAGCCTGGGCTACACAGTGAATGCCTGGCCAGCTCGGGCTACTTAGTGAGACCCTTTCTCAAAAACAAACAAGGAGATTACAGTTCTAGGTGGTAAGCTGGGGTGTGGGTAAGAGATGGCAGAAAAGAAAAGGGACACAGGCTGTAACCTCCCCTGGGGTGATGGAGGTGAGGGAGGTAGAGGAGGCTCCAGAGCCGAGACTCAAGCTTTAAGGTGCCCGCCCCCCCCCCCCGGGAAGATATGCTAGACTGGAGCCTCCCTGTATCATGTCCACAGCCCAGCCCCCCTTCTGGAGCTGCAGGGCTCACTCTGTTCCCACCATTTCTAGGGGAAGGAGCATTTTGTAGGACATTTCGTTTCCCAGATGAAGCTCGGGTCAAATTTCAAGGACAAAAGTTAGCACTTGGCCTGGGAATGAAAACTCCGCCAAATCCTGTAAAATTGGGAGGGAGGGTGAGATTTCAGTGTGGTCATTCCAGGTGCCTGGGGGTGCTGGCAGGAACTGGAACCCTGATTCCTCCTGCCAAGATCTGTCTGGCAGGAAATGGGTGGCTTCACAACCTCGAAGTAACTCAAACAACCACCTCCATTTCCCCTCTGTTCAAAAGCGGGGGTGGGGATGAGGGCTGCGGTACTAGTTTGTGGATCCCACCCACCATGCTCCCCTCAAAAAGATTTGGTCTGAGCGGAAGAGGGAGGTGCTATGAAAGGCATTCCAGCCCAGAGATGTGGCCTTAACTGCTAGAAGAGGGACTGGTAGCCGGCTGGTGTTGCCATGGTAACTTCCTCCCTGAGCTGGATCGAAGCATCCATCCTATGGGCAAATCAGAGCTGGCTCCTCCAGCTTCTCCGCCCTTCTCCTGGGCGGGCGGGGGAGAGCTAGACGCCAAATCACTTGGTCAGGCTTAGGGACACTAGCCTCAGGTCCAGACCCTGAAAAAACAACTTTTTTTGGTATCTACTAGAAAGGGGGATAGACCCCTGTTCCCAACTATACCCCCAGGAAACTGGCCTGGGGATGTGCTACACACAAACTCATTAGAAAGAGGAGGGAAATGAGAAGCCAGGCTGCTTCCTACCTTCCTTTGGCTTGCGAGTCCCCTGAGATACCCACCCTTTAGGCACTTCCAAGAAGGTGAGCCCAGCTCTACCTGAGTAAACTACGATGCAACTAAATTAGTCTATTAAAATGATGACAGCTAACGTTATGAAAGGCAGGATTTTTTTTTTTTTTTTGCCCAAATGCACAGGAGTCTTCTCCATGGCCATGCTCAGAGACAACTCTCATTTGTTAATGAGACAGACCAACACTAGAATGTATTGAAGCCCACTTCATGCCAGGTACCATTGCACAGCAAGCAGCATGATTAAAAACAAGTGTGTTTGGATCATTTTCCCAGATTTAAACCCTAACTCCCTCACTTCCTGGCTAAATGACCTTGAATGAATTACTCTGCCTAGACCTCAGTTTTCTTATCAGAAAATGGGGGCGTTAAAAAAGGATATTAATTTTATGAGGGTATTATGAGGAAAGATTAAAATAACTGCCTAGAAAGACATGCAGCATATGACAGTAATTTAAAAACATTGACCCGATGGAATCTAACTGGGAGCACTACTGTGTTCTCCCTCATGTAGGTGAGAAGAAGGTCACATGTCTAGCTCCTTCCCACCCTAGTTGCAAACCCATGGCCAGTAAGACTGAGCAACAAAGACATGGACATCAGTACCCAAGTCTCCTCGCTAAAGCCCTAGCGTCCTTGGGAACAAGGCAAGGCAGCAGCAATGTAAGATATGCACGCGGAACACACGAGGGAAGATTCCTCTTGACAGGCACTGAAGCAAGCCTGCAGTGGTCCTTTCCTTGGGCTCAAGGGTGTTGGAAAGACACGGGAAGAGAAGGCAGCTTCTTCTCCTTACCCCACTGCCCAACACTCCTAAGTCCAAAGCAGGGATGTGATCTGTCCCATTTAAAGCCCAGATGAAGAGTCTCCTCCTCAGCCTATGACTCAGGGAGCTAGCTGGAGACAGCATGAGAGCCTTGAAGATGTCTCTGGCCTAATCTAAGGGATGGGAAAAGATATCTCAACATGGGTCACAAACAGCAACAAACGGGAGGCTCCCAGATGAGAACGTAGCCTGTCAGACACACACTTCAGAAATGAAGCCACCAAGGACAGACTGGCGGTGAAAGGGGCAGGTGGGAGAGGGGAGGAAGTCAGGAGGAGTCAAGTCTGAGCTGGCCTCCTCTGGCTAAGCCAATCCCAGTGCAGGACCCCAGAACCTATTCCAACTGCCTTTAGATGTTAGCTCAGCTCAGTACTGTTCTAAAGGAAAGAGGCCCAAGATAAGAGGAAATGAATGAATGAGATCAAGAGAAATGAAGCATCAGGACAATGGTTCTTACTTCCAACTCTCACCAGCCCCTCATTATTCTTCCAGATATGAAAGCAGACTTTCTCCTCCTCCTTCCCAAGCTCGAGACAGCCTTAGGCATGAGCAGGTGGCCTGAGATGCCCGAGCCGAGCCCTGGGCTGCCAACCGCTCCCCAAGGCCTTCTCACCTGGGAACCATTTTCTTCACTGTGAGATCTGGCTTTTTAAAAACCCTCCTCCAGAAAGAGAAGCCACTGGTGTTCTGAGGAGAGCTGGAAACCTGGTTCTGCTCTCAACTTTGGGCAGGAGACACCAGATGACCTTGGGTTTTACACACACACACACACACACACACGCACACACACACAAGGGCTTCAGTCATTCACACACATTCTCACAGATACACAATCCCCACCCTGTGGATTTGGGCCCTAGGAGGGCTGAACATGGTCTCTTACGAGTGAAACACAGGATTTAAAGAAACTCACTTAGGAAGGGGGAAATTAGACTGGCATTTAGATCTACTGTTAATGCTCTCAGCGAAGCTGTCCTTGACTCAAGTGAAGCCTAGAGAGAGTCTTGCAGTAGGAGCCAAGATCCCTGACCCACAGTCTGCAGCATGATTGGAGAAAAACCAAACCATGCCTGTCTCGGATGCTCCCACACTCCCGGGCTCCTGCCCAGCTTGCCTCTTGAGACCCAAGTAAGCAGCCTTCTGAACTTTAGGAGAGCAACCTGACATCCTTTCAGGGCTGGAAGCCTGCTCCCTCCACAGGGGCTCCAAGACCCTCCCACCCCCCCGCCTCGCCACCCCATCCCTACAGCGAGCCTGATTTCCTCCTTCTCTGAGTTAGCTGCTGTAGAGGTCACCACATTGGGGACCCCTCCCCAATTCCACCTCACCTGGTCCTGTCTAGAATAATAATACAACATTCCTCAGCTATATCAGGGGAGAAGCTGAGCTCCTGGGCCTCGGTTGTTTGATGTGTTAGACAGCGAGTACCTAGGCTGAATGTGTCACAACCATCTTCACCCCCAACTCCTGCCTCCAGGGTAGTAGAAAATTCTCTCAGGGGTCGGCCTCAACTGTTACCACTACCTCAGCACCCACAGACTCTGGGGAGCTTTCCCTTCCCCATCGGTCACCCGCAGGTGAGCACCCATGACCCACCACTCTGCCACATAACAGAACCCAGGCAGAAAGCTCCAGCCAGCAGGGAGTTGAAAGCTGAGCTCTTGAATTCCTTAAATAGTGCAGCAAAATTCTGGGGTAATGCATACATGCTTTTTTTTTCTTTTGAGAGAAAATTCGTGTTTTAATCAGTATCGAACCCACTTGTTCCAACACATATACACACTCCTCTTCCCCGCCCCTCATCGACTTCAAACACTCAAATTATCAGTTCGAGAACCGTTTCACTCCACCCTCCCACCACACGGAGCCTCATCTCTGAGGCGGCGTCACCTGCATTTTGCAGGTGAAGAAACTGAGGCTCCCGATGACATGACTTGTCCAAGGTCACAGCTATGGAATAAAGGAATAAAGATTGGAATCTCACTCCAACTCCTAGTCTTGGCACTCTTTGGAGGACCTCTCACCCAAATCTTCAAGGTACCCCACCTGTTGTTGGATTCCCTGCTTTACCCCAAAACCAAACTCACAGCTTTCTGTACCCTCTGCCTGGTCCCAGGATCGGAGAGCTGGTTTCCTCCCCACCCCTGAGCAGTGGCTGCCATGGGAAGGGGAAGGTTTGGTTTTGGTTTGTTTGGTTTGGTTTTCTTGTTTTTCTAGGCCTAGGAGCAGAAGGTTTGAGTTGCGGGTTGGTAGCTGGGTTCAGCCCATCCAGAAAGGGTACTCTAGGGACAAGGGCACCCGAGTCAGGGGCACACATTGGAAGGTGCGCTGGTGTAGTTAGCACTTACGCTGCCTTACACCTCCCTGGGGAGGAAAGAGGAAAGGCCAGCAGACACCGGGCCAGTTCTGTGCGGCCCGCCCCAATCTGAAGAGAGTCTGGAGCCTCAGCCTGTGGGGGAAGGGAACGAGAGACAAACAGGGGCACTCAAGGCTTTGGCCTCTGAACAGGGGTCTTAAGCGGGGAGCCTCCGGATGTAGCTAAGACAAAGACCTCAGAGAGGTAAGGTTTGCATACCACCTCCAACAGACGGCAGGGAGGCACGTCGGAAGCCCAGGGGTGAGGCGGCCTAAACCCTAAGATCTGATAGGGGCCATATACTAGACTAAGGTGGTGGCAAGTCGGGTCGCCGGGGAGTCCTGTAGGTACACATAAATAGGAAGAGTTGAGTCCAGGCGACCCAAGGGCCCACCTGCGCGAGAAGGACGCGTGCAGATGATCAACGGGTTCCTGGGGCGGAGGGGCAGGACCAGCACTTATCCTAGATCCCTGGGGGTCCCAAGGGAGTGGAAAGGACCCCTGGATACCTATCCGGGCGGGACCGGTAGTACAGTGGAGACAGTAGTTGCCTCTCCCAAGCGCCCCGGGTCCCCGAGGGTCCCAGGCATCTGTATCCCGGGACAGCCTCCCGGGGTGGGTGGACCGAGGCGCGCTCACCTGCGTCCTCATCGTCGAAGGAGTTCATGCACGGGAAGTAGATGGCGAGCGCCTCGAAGGAGGCGGACAGGCTGAGACGGCTCTGTGAGCGCTCCATGCCCGCACCCGCGCCGGGAGCCTCGGCCGCGGCGGCGGCGGGCGGCTTGGGCAGCTTGGCCGCCCCATTCTTGACGCGGAGTACTGCGCGCGGCGTGGTGGCGGCGACCCGGGGCTCCGCGGACGGGCGGCTGGGCTGGCGGCAGGGCGCAGAGGGCCGGACGCTGGTGGCGCGTGGAGCTAGAGACGCGCAGTGCTCGCGGTGGCGGCGGCGGCGGTGGTGGTGGTGGCGGTGGCGGCGGCGGTGATGGTGGCGGCGGTGGCGGCGGCGCAGCGCGCTCTGGACCGCGGCGCCCCCAGCCTGCTTACCGCGCGGGGCGGGCCGGAGCCGAGCGCCGCAGCCAATCGCCGCGGCCCGGGGGAGGGGGCGCCGCGGGCGGGGCGTGGGAGCCGCGAGGGTGCGGGCTGCGCCGCCGCTGCCAACCCGGCAGGTGCATGAGCCCGCCGCAAGGCTGTCTGCGCCCTGCTGCTGCGGTTGAACCCCCAGTGGCCGCTCTCACCCGTGACTGTGAGTTCTCAGACCCGCTCCAGAGGCAGGTGGCCAGTCACCCCGATTCAAGCAGGCCTCACCCCCAGAGACCCAGATGTGTCCAAAGGGACACAGTCCAAGAAATCAAAAGAAAAACACCTGCCAGATCCCCCTAGGACTTCAATTCATACTGAGATCCTCAGATGCACAATCAAGATGTATTCACTGGGTAAGAGAGATCTCGGCTCCCTCACACTCGGGGGTCGGAGGGACAACTGAGCAGACACACCCTTGTAGACACCTGAACAGACATTCTATAGGCACATAGAGACTCCTAGAGACAGAGTGGCAGATGCACTAACCGGTAAGTTCAGAGGTTACACAGAGACCTGCAGAGTCACAGGGAGCAACAGGCAGGACATGTCCTCCCACACAGCGGAGACCCTCTGACCCCACAGACGTTTAGACAGACACACACCTTCTCATGCACCCACACTTTAAGTTTGCAGACACCCTGGAAGTCTCTCTCACACAGAGAACATAGTCCCAGACCACCTTAGACACTTAGCACCCCTCCTCCTGCGGTGACCTGTGTATCAAGAAGTGGGACAGTCACCCTCAGAATGTTCATACCCACAGACACAGCCGTACAGACTGAGTCACTCTTGGGGATGGATTCATTCTGATGCAGACACCCTCAGACTCAAGATCTGAGCCATCGCTGCAGCTCACACTGGCACATACTCCGGTGACATATCCTGATGGCCACAGTCCCTGGAATCACACCCACAGGCTCAGTTACCAGAGCCTGGGTAGAGACAGACAAACTCAATAGCAACTCCCTGCTGCCCTCCTTCCCGAAGCGGCTCCCCTTTCCAGCTGCTCCCATCCCTCTCCAAGAAGCAACCATCTGAGGTGGCCTCAGAAAGACAGCTCGGTCCCTTCTTTCCAAGAGGCCTATGGCAAGCCTTCCATCTCACTGACCTATTTCCTCATCAGTGTGATGGCAGCGGGAACCCGCCATTCTGGATGGGTGTGAGTATTTGTTTTCTGTTGCTTCATAACCAACCAAATAGCTTAAAGCAACAGATCCTTATTAGTGTACAATCTGTCTAGATCGGAAGTCTGGGCAATTCATCTGGGTTCTCTAGATTCTTGCAAAGTGTTAGCCCTGTGCAGCTGCTATTACAGACTCTAGGGAAAGATCTGATTCCGTGATCATTCAGGATGCCAGTGCGATTCAGTTCCTTGTGCCGGTAGGACTAAAGGCCATGTCTGCCGGCAGCTCAACACCTGCAAATGGTTCTCTGGCTCTTGCACATGGGCTCTCTGTCCTCAAAAACCACCGCAGGAATGCCAAGCCCTTCCCATCCTTTGATCTCTCTAACTGCCCACTGGTTCATCCCCCAAACAACAGCACTTCTTTATCCTTTATATTGCTGTATAACCTCATCGTGGCAGCGATGTCTTTCCCTAGTTCCACACATGGTCAAAGGGGATGATGCAAGGTGGGGATCCCTGAACCATCCTTGCAATTGTGTCACCTCACCGATTGCCTGGGACAAAGAAGGCACTCCTGAGGCCTCTTCCCCTTTCCAGGAATCATACTCTGACCTTGAGAGCCACGGATGTCAGAGTGGTCTGCACACAGCCACCCCGCATTGGTAAATAGAAGCTTCGCTCTTTCCAAGCTTTCAGACAACGCACCCTCCCCCGCCCCCCGACTCCTATCCTCTATACCCAAAATATACCTAACATACTTCTCTGCCATAAACCTTCATGGTTCTCATCACATTCAGAGTCGGAGTCCAGCGTCTACAGGCCCTAATTTTTTGTGTTCTGCACCTCTTTGTCCACATCCCCCCCCCCAACCCTGTGGCTCACTTGGCTTCAAACCCATTGGGATTTCTCTTTCCTCTGCCAGAAACACTCTCGGGAATGCCACAGGGCTTGCTCTCGTGGATATTCATGCAAATATCGCTTCTGCAGTAACGGCTCCCCTCCCTGAGATGACAAATTCTCCCCATCCTTATTTTCTGTGTAGCTCTGGTAGCCATCTGATCCATCATGTCTGCGGACAATGGATGCTTCTTGTGTTTATTCATTCTTTCTGTCTACGCAGCCAGAGCCTAGTAGGATACCTGGGGAAAAAAAGAGGAAAAAAGCTGTATTTGTTTAATTGTAGGGTGAATGAATGAGCCCTCATACCAGTTTATGAAGGGGGTGTCCACTGGCCATTTGAGATAGCCATCCTGGGGCCCTCCTCCGTTTTTACAAAGAACTGAGATTTATAGCAGGAACCTGATGTTCCCAAGGTCACAGGAAAGGAATGAGAGTGGAGCTGGGAGCAGCTCAGCTCCAAAGTCTGTCTTCTCCACTGCTCTGTTGGCCTCCTAACACCAGGGCAAATTATTTCAGGAACGGACATGCAAGGGGGCTGTGGGAGGGCCCCGAACTTGGCCTGGAATCGGGGAAGAAATCTCAGAGACCAGAGAGGAATGTTCAAGCCTAAATATTGAAAACAGGCTGTGAATGAAAACAAAGCCCGCAGACCCTGAGCTAACCCCGGGAGGGTCAAATTCCAGCCCTGCCACTGCTCAGTGGGACCTCTGTGCCACTTTTAAAAAACGAACGTGCAATGTTTGTCCCAGCCCCTCCCCGTATATGTGGGTGACGCTCAGTGACTGACGATGCTGTAACCCATAGAACACGGGGGCTACAGCATATAGAACTTCTGCAGGTGGGTCAGGAGGTCCTGCAGCTTCTTCCTGACTTGCTCAAGCTCCACACCCTACGAGAAACCAACCTCTGCCCAAGATGCTTAGCTGTGTGAAGACTCCATGCTGGAGATGCCATAGGAAAGCCCCACAGAGCTACCAGCTATCAGCCAGCCTGGACCACTGGCCATGTGAGAAAGCCATCCTGGGGCCTATCCTGGGCGATGCTTGATAGGGCCACAGCTGACACCTGCTGGCAACCAAGCGAGAGGTGCTGAGTATTTGCTGCCCCACTTGGCACTTCTGGAGCGCATGTCTGTGTCTAGAGATTATATTTTAGGCCATAGCAGAACAGTGACTTTGGACAAGTGAATCAGCCTCTCCGGGCTTCGGTGTCTCCAGCTGTAAAGCAGATACAGCACTCACAAAGTGGGCATGGCCATCAAATGAGTCCCTTAGCCTGGTGCTCTGAAAACACTTCAGATACAGCGTGTGTTCTGTAAGCGTGAGTTTATGGGTCCACACAGCTCCTCCTGTCAGAGCCAACCACACCGAGTAAAGGGGGACCTGAAATACCACCAACTGGCTCCTCTTGGGGAGAGGGAAACTGAGGCCCAGATAGTGCCATATGGCACAAGTGGGCAGAGCTGTGGAAAGACAGAGATTCATCATGATCCAGGCCACCTGGTCAACTGACATGAGTCTGGGGCTCCGAGTGAGGAGCACAGGTGAAGCTGACTGTGGAGAGGAAGAAAGGCGGCCCCCAAGAACCTAGTCTGGGGGCTGACAAGATTGCTCAGAGTGAAAAAGAAAGAATCCCTGTCCTTGGTTTCTAAGAATGCATTCAAGATGTACACACCCCTCCCCCACCGTGTGCACAAATTGATTTTTCGCTGGCTGTCCTGGGACTTGCTCTGTAGACCAGGATGGCTTTGAACTCGGAGAGATCCACCTGCCTCTGCCTCTCAAGTATTGGGATTCAAGGTATGCATCATTATACCTGGCTCTATTTTTGTTTTTTAATTTTTAAAGAAAAGACAGTCTCGTTAGCCTTTGGTGTGATTTTTCCTTTCCTGGTTAGCTCATGGTTAAAATTCCAGAAATAGGGTTTGGGCTTATAAACCTAAATCTTTGACTCCTTATAAATATGCAGTTTCCCTGTGGGAAGCCTCATCCGGTGGCCTCTTGGACCTGAGGGTGAGTGAGGTTTGAGGAACAAGTCTGAGGTGCAGGGAGGCTTGAGGTTGTGGGTGGAGACTAGTAGAGTTGGACCCCGAAGGCAAGTCCTATGGGGAACCCCAGACAAGCTTCTACTTTGGGACCAGTAAAATGCAGAATGCCACAGAACCGGCAGGTGGAACGGATCTGAAGAAGCATTGTCTGGTGAACTTAAACACCCATCCTTATCTTGGATATGTAGTCTTGGATAAGTCCTTTCAGAATTCTCCATTAAGAAGTAAAGGTAAGGAGTCTGGATTGGCAAAGTGCTTACCGCACAAGCTTGAGGACCTGGGTTCAGATCCCCAGACATTTGCCTGTAATCTCAGGACTGGCGAGGTGAGGACAGGAAGGTTTCTGGGGTCTCACTAAGCAGTAATGCTAGCCAAATGGGAGAGCCTGTCTCTAAAACTAAGGTGGAGAATGACTGAACAAGACAGCCAAGGTCTGGGCTCCACATACGCGTGCACTAGCACACACATGCGTATACACACATGCACACACACACACACACACACACACACACACACACATGCACACACCAGAGCAAAATCGGTTATATAGAGTAGGCATGACATTTGCTAAGTTCACTGATGGAAGTTCTCAGTGGCTATTGCATACGAGTCTGTATCAAGAGCTCAAAATACAGGGTGACTAAGACAGGCCTGGCCCCTGCATTTGTGGGCTTTATACTATGCCAATGATTACGACATTATGTAATAGTTTGATTGTGACGGATTTAACTGCAACTGTGAGGAAAGATTTGTAGCATAGCTCTATTTTATAGTATTATAGGGGCTAGGAGGTCTTAAAGTCTGCCAAGCGTTCATGAAGTCTGACCTGAGGAAGTGATATTCAAGCTGCAGATGTTACCTACTAGG